AAAAAGGTAACTTTTGTTTCATTTAACCGTCCTTGTACGACCTACCGTTTCCGAGATAGCAATAGTGGTATCAGCACTTTGGGCCATGGACTATGTCTTTAATATAAATATAATTGTTACGAAGTTCATAAATATATATCAATGTAAATTCCATGCTCCATCAAGTATAAAATACCATATCAAAATGTATCTAGTTGAAAAAATGGCGAAATCAGTTATCGGCATATCAATCATAAATCAAAAAGGAAGGTAGTCGAGAAATATACTCGTATTATTACGATGCGACTTCGATAACGGTTCGTTCAACCACGTAAATGTAAAAAATCCAGAAAAGTATATCCTATTGTAATCTTATCAGGTAAATCGTTCCAAAAGTGTATCAAGGGCGACAGTTGTCCCATTAAATCGATAATACCAGCTTATCTAATTGGTGTTTCCTAGTGGGAATTTCAAATGGATCAACACTCTTATCGATTGTGTTTTCAGTCAATTGCAAAAGAAAAATCACTGAATGGCTCGTAAATCATAGAATGAAGTTGGAAAATCCATAAACCTCAATTGTAGAAACTATATACGTTTCATAGATGAAAAAATTCATGAAATATTAAATTTACTCATTACTGTCGAAGAAAACAATAGCAAATGACCAACTGTAAAGGAGGTTTGCGAAATGTTTTCGTTTGGGATCTAATAATATTGTATCAACATGTTTCAGAAGTTACTTGACATTTTTCGGTTTTCATTCTGGAAAGTAAATACATTCAAATAGACCTATGAAGAATATTTTGTTATAATTATGAAGAATTTGTCTTTCAAGTATTTTTCTTTTCACAGATAAAAAATCACTGTTAATGGCATATTAGTCATGAATCAATAGGAAGGTTGTCGAAAAATACAGTGCATTCTATTTAAAACGAACTAGAAAAAAAACACATCAACAATAGTAGGTATACAGGGGAACACATTTTGATATATTCACATTTGATGTTACTAACCTTATCGCACAGACAGAGCATGTCACCAATTTTTTTAAAATGGATCACCCTATATTGTTTCGCATCATCAGATGCTCCATGATGTGCAGATTCCAACAAAGTATAAAACATATGGTCTGAAGCTTATGGTTCGGGAGCTACAAATTATCTGAGTTAAAAACTAGCGACTGAATAACATTTGAAACAATGATTTGCAGAAAAAATTAAAAACAGGTCAACAATTATACAGGAGACCACATTTTGAAATATACGTTCTAGAGACAAATACGGAAGCAATAAATCATAAAAAGAGATTTTTTTATCAATTCATTGATCAAAATCTGATGACTGGGCAATGAGAAGAAAAAAATGTTTTGTAGTAGATGTTCAAAAACGTTTCCACCAACTTCCATACAATGATACAAACGAGCGTTCATTGCCGGTCTCTCATACATTTCAAATGACCCCATAGAAAGAAATCTACAGGAGTGGGAACCAGAGACCTTGGTGGCCATTCTGTAAGACCTCTTCTGCCATTCCAGCGACCAGGAAAATAATCATCCGAAAATGATCGCAGTGGAGCTGCATAATGAGGAGATGCACGATCCTGCTGAAAAACTATTTCGTTTTCGAATAAATTTATATCCTCCTCAATTGCCATATTGATGCACGAAATTATTCGATTCACCAACATATCCAAATATGTATCACTAGTCAAATTATCATCGATAAAAAAGTCCTATGATGTGGTCGCCTAGAAATTCAGCCCAAACATTCAGTTTTTCAGGTCGATGGGTATGAACTTGACGATATAAATGAGGATTCGTATCACTCCATTATCGAGAATTTTGCCGATTCACCTCTCCATTCAAACTAAACGTACATTCATTCTAAAAACAAATTTTATATGAGAAATTCTGATGCAAGTTGATCCGTTCAGTGACACTTTCAAAAAACTCGAGACGTCTGTTGAAATCATCTTCGTTCAATCCATGAACTAGTCTAATCTTATATGGATGAAATTTGTACTTATGAAGAATCCTGAAAACATGTGTAAAAGATTGATAATTTTCCATTAGTCCATCGTGCCCCAAAAACTACAGTACAAAGAGCTTCATCGTTGACAACTCCTGAACGGTTATACTTTTTATTGTTAACAGATCCAGTTTCGATAAATTTGTTCAATAATTTACGTCGTACATGATTATTATTGAACATACGGGCAGTAACTCTAGCATTATTTTCATTCTGGTAGTACAAACTCACTATTTCGATCCGTTCTCGAAGCGTATAAACCATTGCTTCTCAAAAATTCACAAAAACAGAAACAGCAACTCCAACTCCACCTGGTAGGTAATCGTTATTGTAGAATGAGACAAATACAAAATGAAGAATGAAGAATATCGAATTTGAACTTAACTAGGCAAAATAAGACTATTTTTACGGATGCTTCACAAAAACACCTATGGAACCTAGGTAACAGATTGTACAGAAGTTCATTCAGGGTGGTATTCTACTTTGTTGAAATCTGTTCATCATGGAACATCTGATAATGTAAAACATTCGATCCATTTAAAAAAATTGGTGACCTGCTCTGAAGGTGCGATAGGAAAACTTAGATAAAATGTGAATATGTCAAAATATGTCCCCCTGTACACTATTGTTGAGGTGTTTTTATCATTTTTCTTGAAAAATATTGTTCCAAAAGTTATTCAGGGTAAATCTTTTTCAACTCAAATAATTTGTAGCTCCCAAACCATAGGCTTCAGACCATATGTTTACTGCAACATTGCAGCACTGTAACTACCAAATGTATGCTGATGACACACAGATATATAAAACCTTTGAACCAGATAATGTCATGCAAACTAACAGAGAAATAAATATTGACTTATAATCACTAAAAGTCATATGTGATGAACATCTATACTCAAAATAAATTCTGTAATGACAATGTCAGGAATGACATATTTTATAATCTTATACTGAGGATGGGAAATGACACAAAACCTTTTAGTGAGAGTGCAAAGAACTTGGGTTTGATACTAGATCAAAAATTAAGATTCAAAGAATAGGTTAATACCATGTTGAAAAGAAGTTACACTAGCTTGAAGATGATTTACCCACATAGACACTATTTAGGCCAAGATGTGAAAAAAATGCTGTGTGATTCATTAGTGCTCTCCCAATTCAACTATTGTGATATTGTATAACCTCTGTATAATATTGTTGACGTGTCATTTAATTTTTCCTGCAAATCATTGTACTATAAGTTATTCAGGGTGGCTCGTTTTGAATGGAATGCACTGTATATTATTACAATGCGACTTCGTGAACGTTTCTTCTGTTGGATTTGTATCAGAATACTAGAAATTTTTCATCTCTGTATACAATGTCTGTATCTCTGGATCCGGATGGCACGCAGCGCAGGTAGCTCTAGTTGCCTCCGTAGTGATTTTAGTAGTTTCATAAACTACGCATCACGATTTGATCCCCACAAATCATGAGGAGTAGTTTATAAAATTACTATGGATCTTCATCAAATAACGGCCGAATCAATCAGAAAATTTTAGTAGCATTATTGTAAACTCAATATCTAAATGTGCTGCTGGCTTCGTGTTAACTCGAAGATTCTCACGCATACACATAAACGTAGTTCTCCAGTTCGATTAACAAGTTGAAAAACGTGAAAAATAAAAATAAAGCTCATGAAAATATGGGCAATAACTCAATCGATACGAAATAAGCCCTAGAAAAATGTATTCGAAGCATTTTACGGTGGATAAAAAGTTGGGGTTGTTATAAACAAAATAATAATCGAGAAGAAATGAGGTATTCCGTTTTTTCGATATTAACATTGAAACTATAATTATAGGAGTGTGACAGAATGATTTTTCAAGAGAAGGAAATGTTCCATGAAAATGTAACTCCATTATTATGATTTCAATTGAACGTTAAAAATAACGCTCATTTTACCACAGACGCGAAAATTATCATCAAATGTTAAATATGTATTTAAAAATTTGAAAAATCATACTTCATTCAAAACACTTCAAAGAACAAGGTCCCCTAGGAAAAGAAGTATGATTTTTCATAAAGCTATTTTTTTCCAGAAATCAAATAAACCTGGAGACTGTATCGGAGAGACGTAAATACGTAAAAGAGAATGAATATTTTGAAATGGAATCTCCCATCTATACTCAGTAGGTTCTGGTAAATGCCTGCCGACAAACAACTACTTTCCCGGTTATTACCACACTGGACATCAGGACCATGCTTCTTGATGAAGAATAAAAAGAATGAAACTAGTACCAATAGGGAGAAGGAAATATTAAGAGCAGATAGTTGTTGGTTCACAGATGGATCAAAAACACTTTCCGAATCTGGTGCAGGTGTTTTCAGTTGCAGACCCAGGACAGATATATCAACCTGCGTAAGAACCTATACGACTAAATTTCAAGCGGAAATGTACGCTATTGAAGTACGCCGCTAGACTACTCCCGCTATTGAGCAGTCTAGCGGCGTTAATAGCTCTTGGCTCCTACCGAGGAGCGTCTAAATAGGTAGTGAATTGCCAAAAACGACTTTCCTGACCTGGAAGACAATGAGGCTGCTGACTCCCCTTGCAAAGGAGGTTGCTGCAAGCAGCTTCATCAGACCAGAACCTGTCATTGGCATCGCTTTAGGCTTTGCCAAACAAAGATGGAACACCTGGATGGTAAGAAGATTTATGAACTTCTGGTAGAATCTTCCAGGATTGGTTCACTCCAAGGCGTTCATTCACCCTTCGAAGCTTGATACCAAACAGTTGTTGGATATCAGATTGTATTCTGATAATTAACATTTGAATTCAATCTTGTCACATGAGAACAAAACTGCTGTATCTCGACTCGCATTTCGCTGATCAAGTTAGCATCATCATCATTATTGTTCTGGTAAGGAAAAGGTGCTTTCAACAGATTACATTCCAACCACTGAAACGAAAATGATATGCCTGAAATAAAACAAAAATATCTATATATTTACGTGAAATATTTTTCTCCTTAGAATGAACAACTAAGGTAATAATTTTTCTGTCACAGGACTGTACTGAAATATTTCTTTCCAAAATTCCATCCTTTCTTTTTCTGGATCTTCTCCCAATGCCAATACTTTCCCAATATTCAGAAAGTGAATTTTATCCTCCTCTACAGGTTTCCATATGATGTTCACATGTTTCTTATCTGGCGTTGGATTTCCATATTTAGCAAAATTGGTCCACAGTTTCACGAATCTTCTGATTGACAAGTCTTCTATACTTCCTGCTTCAACATTGGTCATTTGGTCGGATTTGAATAGATACCCCAATTCGTCTGCATGACAAGCACCTTGAAAAATAATTGAATGTGATCAGAATTACTATCAAATATTCGCTTCATTATTCAGGAAAATCTGAGACAGTATTCATTTTTTCAATCTCCACTCCTCCACCTTCCAAAAGTACCCCAGCACCACACCAAGAGTCCTCATGGGCCCCTAGCCCCATGGAAATCGTTGTAGAACCTACCTCCTAATTACAAAATTAATGAAATGACCTCCGACTCAATGTCTCCTTACATCATAAAATACCTCCTGCATCATAGAGTCCTCATCCATTTAAAAAAAAAAGTGGTTTCTCCTATAGAAGGAAATTTCGAACACAAAGTGCTGTGCTTACTCTTATGGATCAAAAAACACCTGGTTCTAATGCAGCTGTATACAACGTCAGACCCAGAGTATAGTTATCAACCTGCCTATGCGACCATATTTCAAGAAGAAATCAATGCCATTGATTTGTATGTGGAGAGGTTGGCAGAAACCAACATAAATCAATAAAATAAAAATATTATTAGACAGTCGAGCGGCTTCAAAATCCCTTGGCTCTTGCTGAGCAAAGTCCAAGTTGGTGGAAACTGCCAACTTACTGTGCCTAACCGTTATACTCACAGGTCACTGTCGTCTGAATCATCATATGACAAGAGACTTGAACATTCGGAAGGTAAATCATACCGCCTCTGTAAGGAAGACGATGCAGACCACATACTCTGTGCCTACCTCCCCGCGGTTCAAATCTGGTCTGCAATATCACTCACCAGAGGAGCTACTTGTTTGGTCGATTTTTAGTGAGTGTAGGCCATAATACGAGTTGCAGTAAAAGGTCAATTAGACCCATTCACTTTGGACTCACTACCTATTCTCGACAACTCGATTGATAGACTTTTTTCACTGTTTGACAATTTTGTGAAATAAATTTTATCAGGAATTGTCAATAGGTAGGTAGGTAGGTATTGGAACTATATATGACAAAATGAAAGTACAAATTACTACACCCACACCAAACACACGCACACATACGCATAAACACAGCAAATGCATATACGTACACACTTATGGTGAATAATCATCAACGCTGTAAAACAAATTGAGAGCTGAATATTTTTCAACTCCTATTTCAGACTCCCTTAACGTTTTGCTTTTCTTTATGTCTAATGGTGAAACAATAAACAAATGAGGACCCGCAATATTGGGACCTTTGAAAGGAATTCGCCCTTGCGCTAGAGAAAATTGGAATCAGTATTTTTGTCACGTATCAATTGTAAAATTAGAGCTCACAATAGGAAAACAACTTTTTCTTTCAAACACATAGATACAAGTTTCCATTACAGACAAATTAACGTCAGTATTAATAATTTCCAGAAGAGAGATCTACAAGACTCTGAGTAGCTCATATGAATCATGCCTATGATGATGAATTTTTAAATTCAAGGAAACTCCATCTTCAGTTTCAGACCAACCCTAGACACAGACACCATAACACCATCGGGACTCTACCTCAGCATGGTTGAAAAATTGTTAGTTGATTTACACTAAAAATAAAGCACAATATGCATTGAAATTTGAAACAGTACATAAATTTGAATGTTGTTGTTCATTAATAACGAAGCGATACCCTAGACTTCAATGGAAGGCTTCTCATTCACTACTGCTTGAGTGATTGGGCGGCAATATTTCAGGTCCAATAAATAACATCAGAAAAAAACATAGACAGTCAAGCGGCTTCAGAATCCCTTGGCTCTTGCTGAGCAAAGTCCAAAATAGGGGATACTGCCGACTTACTGTGCCTAACCGTTATAGTTACAGACCACTGTCGTCTGAATCATCATATGACAAGAGACATACCGTCTCGCCCCAAATCTGGTCTGCAATATCTCTCACCAGAGGAGCTACTTGTTTGGTCGATTTTTAGTGAGTGTAGGCCATAATACGAGTTGCAGTAAAAGGTCAATTAAACCCATTCACTTTGGACTCACTACCTATTCTCGACAACTCGATTGATAGACTTTTTTCACTGTTTGACAATTTTGTGAAATAATTGAATCAGGAATTGTCAATAGGTAGATAGGTACTGGAACTGAATATGACAAAATGAAATTATAAATTACAACACTCACACCAAACGCACGCACACATACGCATAAATACAGTAAACGCATATACGTACACACTTATGGTGAATAATCATCAACGCTGTAAAACAAATTGAGAGCTGAATATTTTTCAATTTCTATTTCAGACTCCCTTAACGTTTTGCTTTCTTTTATGTCTAATGGTGAAATAATAAACAAATGAGACCCGCAACATTGGGACCTTTGCCTCTAGCGCCCCTGCGCTAGAGAAAATTGGAATCAATATTTTTTTCTGGTATCAATTGTAAAAGTAGAGCTCACAAGAGGAAAACAACTTCTTCTTTCAAACACAAGTTTCCATTACAAACAGACAAATTAAAGTCAAGGAAACTCCATCTTCCGTTTTAGACCAACCCCAGACACAGACACCATAACACCATCGGGACTCTACCTCAGCATGGTTGAAAATTGTTCGTTAATTTACAAAAAGAATAAAGCANGTGTTAGGAATCACACGTTAAAAGGTAAGACCTCGTTAGTCCTTAGCTCGCACAAGTTTCTCAACTTCTGAGAGTTGTCGTTCGTATGGGGGCGACAGCTGATTAACGGAAAAACAGATTTGAACAGAAGGTGATACGGACATTTGATACGGTGATATGGACATAAATATTATTCATCATTTTCAACAGATTCCTTACCACATGATTTCGTCATGTTTAAAAAATAATCTCTTTTTCCGTTAATCAGCTGTCGCCCTCATACGAACGTGTGATTCGTAACACGAAGAATGAAGAAAATGAGTTCAACCAGAAATTCACAGTGTGCGACATTAAAAACGGAACATATCGAATTTCTTGAATAACATTTTTCGAGAAAAAAGGCAAAAATAGGTGGACATCCGTCTAGCATAAGCCCAGCTATCATAACTCATTTACAGCCCCTTGGTGACCATCACACTTAAAATTCGAATAGAAGTAGTACTTGGTGTGACAATTCATTAAAAGGGTAATTTCATAAAGATTGTATCCATATGACACATAAGAGAATTGCATCTCGCTTGTTTCATTCACGAAATGATAAATAAACAATCCACTAAGTTAGTGAAAAACTCCTTCCTAGACATCAGATATATTCAAGAAACCGTGAACTATCCAGTTTCTCATTGATTACACTTCACCAGATTATCTATTGGTTCAGCTTAATTTTTTTTTGAGATTGTGGAAATATATACACCCAAAATACAGGAAAAACATTGACTCCGTCACAAAAATGTCTTTCTAAGCATAGATCCATCATGTTATTTACCGAATACTTGCTGGCAATCCAACTCCATTCTGAGATTTCACAAGTAAGATTTTCGAACTCAAAAATATGAATCGGTGCTTCTTAGTGCTATAAGAATCTAAATGAAAAAATCACAAAACAGTGCTGTTCCAACACATCGTAGGGTTGCACCATCAGTGGTGCTAGGCTGCACCACAAATTCTTGCCAGACTCAACTGTCCTTAACTCTTTCAAGTGCCCTGGTGCAAAATTTGAAGCTTAATTTTTTGGTGGGTATGCTGGGACAAAATATATCCCGCTTTGTAATGAGCTTATACTTCGTGGTACGTCGGTTCATTTTCTTTCCCGCATCGAATAACTCACTCCTATTGGTCTTCGTCATCATCTGTTCAAGGTTGAATCACAATAAACCAAGCGTTAGTTGTGAATAGCAAACAATCGAAATTCGTAAAGTACGTTGTGTTTCTCTATTTGAATTTCGGTTGAAAAGCGTATCAATTTATTGTAATAACCCTTTCTGATGTGTGAAATATAATTCACATGTGTGATGTGTGAAATATAATAGGTAAGCTACCTGTTTCATTATTTTGATTTATTAGTTCATTTTTCATTCATAATCTGTGAAAATAAACACTGTGCAAAATTTGTCACACCAAACAACAACACATATTTTCTTACAGAAATGGACAAGAGATGTTTCAAAGAACCCTTGCCATTTACGCTGATTGGGACCCAGAAGATTTGCAGTTGAAGGCAATGAGAAAGATACAATGGTGCAAAATGGATAAGATCACTCCACCAGAAGATTTCAAAGAACATTTCAGTGTTGCTCAAGATATCAAGGATTTGAGTATTCCATCACCTTACACTCTTTTCTATCAGTTCATTTCGGATGAAGTATTGAATAATATAGTTTTCCAGACTAATCTATACGCTGAACAGAATTATCAGAAAACTGGGAAACCATATAAACTGACAGACATACCTGAAATGAAAACATTTTTGGCAATACATTTGTTGATAGGCATGAAAAAATTACCATCGTACAGAAATCACTGGAGTCAAAATCCCGACTTTCATGACCCTTATATAAGTAAATTGATGACTGTTCACCGGTTTGGATGGATGTTGAGTAATATTCATTTGAATGACAACAATAGAATGCCTGAAATAAATACCAACCAATTTGATAAACTATATAAAATATGCCCTTTCATAAAAATCATCAGAGACAATTTCAGGAGATGCATTTACTCACATGAACATATAGCAATAGATGAGTCAATGATTAAATTTAAAGGTCGATCTTCTCTGAAGCAATATCTTCCAAAAAAACCTGTCAAAAGGGGAAATAAAGTCTGGATGATTTGTGATGAAACAGGATATTGTATGGACTTTCAAATCTACACAGGCAAAGTAGCTGGAGAAGTGGAAAAGGCTTTGGGTTCTAGGGTTGTGAAAAGATTATCTTCAATGATTGAAGGTGAATCTCACAGACTATACTTTGACAATTTTTTTTCGAGTGTTAGTCTGATGAAAGACTCAGTAGATGATTATACAGTGATTTTCAGATAAAAGTATCCACCTTTAATAACTTTTGTAATACTGGTATTT